CAACCATAATTTATAAAACTATTTGAATAATATTTGAAATCAATTATTAGTTTGAAGTTTGATCGAAATTATATTATTCATTCTCTGGACTAAGCTTAAGATATTGAGGCAAAAAATTACTCAACAAAAATGCATAAGTATATGCTTTTAAAGGATAAGAAAGCAATGCAATAGTAAACAGAAGCACATTAATAATTCCAATCTGTCTCGTAATAACTAGTCTTAATTAAGCAGTTTTGTGTATTAACAAATACTGCACAACTACATATTACAGCAATTATAATGCATTTAGTAGAGAGAATAATGAATGAAGCAAAAATGTTAATATATTATCGTCTAAAATGTTTATCTCAATGTGATTCTAGTTGGGTGATTTTAACAATAAAAAGATGAGCGAATCAATTATTAAAATTTAATAAAAATAGTATTGATTTAATAAAAAGTATTGATTGATAGAAATTAACAAATCGAAATTAATAGTAAGTTGCAATAAAATAAAAAATATAATTACAAAAAGAAATAACGCCATTATCATACACTGCCAGCAGAGAGCAATCATTTGATCATCAACCAAGCAGTCAGAGAATACACTTCGTGATGGAATTAAAGATAATGATTTAGAGGAATGGTCGCAAAGATATGAACGCGATATTTCAAGGGATAGATGGATTCGATAAGCAAAGTAATAACACTTTGCTGTGATTTATAGAGACAGTAATTATTCCTCATTAGGAGCAGAATTATTAGACCTTTGCTATTTGTCAAGTAAGTCGTTAAACAATCATCACCGATAATTGATTGATGAGGATTATTAGGTCAGATCAGGTAAGAAGATAAGATTCTAATTAATCAACAACAAAACATCAGCATTAACTATGTGATGAATACAAGTGCTCATTGTTTTGAGTATAAAAGATGTAAGAAGATTGAGACGAGGACAAAAAAATTATGATTCACGAATAATACCATAGAATAATAATTACCTAACTACAATCATGTCAAGATAAACATTACCAAGATACTACTAACTTAGAATTCATTTACTACTAACTTAGATGGTTTACTACTAACTTACAATTCATTTACTACTAACTTACAATTCATTTACTACTAACTTAGATGGTTTACTACTAACTTAGATGGTTTACTACTAACTTAGAATTCATTTCATATCAGATGCAGTACGTAAATTAAAGTGTAGACTGAAAAATTGCAGATGTGAACAATTTATGGACAGATGTTCGGTAGAGAGTGAGACAGACCGTTTCAGACAGCATAAATGCTTAATCTTCTTGAAATCAAATTGCAAGACTTTTCGGCATTTATAAGAAATGATTCAGCTGACTCTTTCAAGATAAGAAACAACAAAGAGAGTAAAGACGTCGAGAATTTATTGTCTAAAAAATTTTCATACGTACAATAAATAATTTTTATTTCTAGTCGAACAATTTGACGTTTCTTCTCGAATACGAATGCTTCAGTCATTTGAAGAGATATTTTAAGACGAAGCTAGAAGGCATTTCAGCGGGACCACTATATATAAAGATCTGCATGGCATGAGTGGACAATACGAGTCGTTGACCGTATTTATAAAGAAAAGGCTACTATGTGGAAAAAAAAAGATATAATAATTGAATTTAAGAGTATTCTGAAAAACTGCAGAGGTAAGACAAATTTTGAACAAATGTTTGGTTGGGTATAAATAAAGTGTAAAGTTAAACTTTAATTGTGTGTAATTAAGGTTAGATGACCTTTGACGTACAATAATAAATTTTTTAATTAAAAAAAATTACTCGACGTTTTCTTTCACTTCATCTTACTTGTTGCTGGTTCCAGTATACTGAAATTTGCTAAGAAATCAACAATATTTATTGTTTACAAAAACAAGCCAATACGATAGAAGGAATTCGTCCAGCAATTACGACAAAAAAAAAAACAAAATTTTTTTTGTCGTAATCGCTATCTTGAACCTATACAAAGCAGAGAGCACGAAAAAAGAGCGAAGTAGAAGGTCAAGAAATTTTGATAGGGCGGAGTCAAGAGTCTAATACTACACGTCATTGATAAATTGGATCTTAATCTTCACGTGCTACGTGTCTGAATAATGATTGATTCGCATTTATAGTTTAAATTTAAATTTCTAACATTGCAAATGTAATGCGATATAGGTTTGAGTTTTAGTCATGCCATAGTATGTTTGTTTTTTTCGCGAAACTATACAGATGGTCCCCGTCAGTAAGATAGAGTACTATACGTTTGCAGCAATAAATTACTTTTGATGCGTAAAGTGACAAAAAATAGTGTGGTGCAGAGAAACGACAAAAAGTAATAGGTTAAATTCAAACTGTCGGTAGTTGATCTCAGTGAAACATTGTGCGTGTAAAAGAGGTGAAGATGAGGCAGCAGGTCGTGTAATGATGGATTAGCAAAGATTTGTGGTGTATTTGTTGTAAAAGTGTTTGATATAGGCGTCAGTTATTAAGCGTTGTTTTGAAAAATAAACCTGATCAAGTATTTGTGCAAATTATCAGTATGATAAGCATGTAGTGTGTGTTGTAGTTAATTAATCATTCGAAGATTAATAAGCTTATTATATTTTCAATAAACTTGATAATTGTAAGAATTGATTAAGACTGGTTACTATTTATCTTATAAGAATATAGACAAAGAAAATTACAGTCAGACACTGGTACAGTTAGGCCAGTAAGACTACAATAGTGACCATAATAAGAATAAAATATAATCATTACAAGTGGAACGAGGTCAAGCAAAAGAAAATTGACCAAAAATGTAGAATTTGAATTTGCTACCTTTTCATACAACAAAATATATGACAGTAGAAATATGAGAGTAGAAATACGACAAAGTTGAAACTGAGATAGAGTATGACAAAGTTAAGACTAAGGTAGGACATGACAAAGTTGAGACTAAGGGAGGACATGACAAAGTTGAGACTAAGGGAGGGCATGACAAAGTTGAGACTAAGGGAGGGCATGACAAAGTTGAGACTAAGGGAGGACATGACAAAGCTGAGAGAAAGGGAGGACATGACAAAGTTGAGACTAAGATTTTGTTAAATGTTTGCATTTTTGAGATATTGCGAAGGAATCAGTTTATTTTTGTAAGCTAAGCAGAAATTTTTTTGACGCTGACAACTTTTCTTTCATTTGATTGATGGCAACAGCAAAGAAGTCTGTCTGCCTTCTGCAAGCAAAGAAATATATCAAATACATCTCCAATTTTTTTGATTCACTCTGTTGCAGTTGATGAGAAGTTGAATTGCGGAAATACGCATTGAAGTATTCACTACTTCAAATTCGTCTATTAGTTAATTAGTTAAATTTGCTTCTTGGTTTACTTATATAAGTTTAATTAATTAATTAATTAATTAGTATGGCTAGCATGTTTGATCAAAATGCATTTTACTTTGATCTCATTTGCACTATTTACTTAACTGAAAATCAGATGACCTTTATTGATTACTCAGAATGAAAAAGATTTCAGTACACTTTAGGACAAACGAAGTCAGATCTCACAGATTATGCAATTATCATCAATTACAAATGGATAAATTAAGTGCAAATTGTTGCGAGATATATATCTGCTTAATTTTAACGAGAGATTATGAATCCATCTTGACTTATTTCAAAGCTTATGAGTCCATCTTGACTTATTTCAAAGCTTATGAATCCGTCTTGACTTATTTCAAAGCTTATGAATTCATCTTGACTTTAATATATCTTATAAGAGTGTATATCTTGAAAGACTAACAGATTCTGATTACATTTTAGTGTAACAAATCTTTTGGAGCTACAAAGTATATTCATACTTACTGTTATTGATTTTTGTTCATTCATATATCCCGCCAATTTTTTTGCGTCACAACTGCAATCCGCATTTTTTTCAAATGTTACACACTTTCAATGATGAAAATTTTTAATCTTTAGGGCATAGACACACAAATATATATGTGTGTACTATACATAAACATAAATTGTTGACTATTTGAGGCAAATTTTGGAGGGAGATTCTTACAGGGATCATTTGAATATTCAAATAGATAAGTAAGAAAAAGGTGGCAGATCAAATGAGTAAGATCGAAAGAGAGGAGGCGAATAAGAATGACTGCCGCTTAGTATTGAAATAGGCTGCACGCAAATGTCCCTTCATTATACCGGCATAATTTATCAAACAAGTGAAAGACTGGTCCAACTATGTTTGTCGGACCAGCCTGCTTAAATGGACACTGCTTAAGAATCAGTTCGAAAAATTTGCACACTTCATCAATTTTTATCAGTATAATTTGCTGCTTGTATACATCTACTTAATTAAATTAGTATTCTATTTATACTATTTAGTACTAATTATTATGCAAATTTGTATTTTTTCTTCTTGTTATGATTATTTTATTTAATGCTCACTGTGGATAATAATTAATATTTGCTTTATTGTTTTGAAGAAGCATTGGATAGTATTGAAGTTGTATTTTTGTTTTATGAATGTCAGATTTATGGATATGCTACCAATATTAGATCTTTTTTCCAATGCATTCGAATTGTAGCTTCTTTTTGTTGCATTGAAATAACTGTAAATATAAGTTTACAATGGTTCATTATTTGCTCAGAATAATGGTTGAAATGAAGTCAACGTACACGTGTAATCGTCATTTGTATGGTTTCAGAATCATGTTACATTTATAAGATTATTTACAAGTTTGGAAGATAAGATTTGGCCCGTGTTCATACAGTATTGTTATGTAATTGACAAATCTACATTTCTTTGTATTTGATTGGTTACTTGTATTGAGTTGATAAGGGTAATTAAGGTTAAAGTTAACCTTTGGGTCAAACTTTTGGCTTATCCTTCTTAAGTACGGTGGGGAGGGAGGGATTTTTTTTTGTGTTAGAGAAAAGGACGTTAGAGTATAATTAATTAATATTGCTGCATTCCGAAAGTTCATGACCTTACCACGGTCATTTGCACGATTGTGAAGGGCGCAAATGTATTTACTACCAACAATTCTTTACTGCCTTTATCTCCGCCCTGATGATAATGATCGATTGCGAATTAAATTACGATCACATGACAACATGATCTCACATAATTTTATGGTTTTGAAATTTTCGGTCAATCTTCCTCACAATTAGCTCAAATGTTTCATTGATTACATAGGAAATAATCAAATTTTAAGACTTGATTTTCACGTGCATCCATAGAAATTAACAATTTTCTTTTTTGTTTTGGAAAAAAAAAATTAAATATTATACGCATATTTATTAATTTTGAGAAAAAAGACTTTTATTAGAGATTAAAGACACGAAAAAAATTTAATAAATTTTATATTCATGATTATAATTAGAATACTAATCTGAAAAAAGTGGCTGAACATACCAAGATATGAAATAAAATACAAATTCGTAGTTGCAATTCTTTATGAATCTGTAAAACCATCTGTGGTAACTAGTGACCATAGAGGTAAAAAAGGGAAGAAAGCAAAGCAAGCATGGAAGAGAGATGAGGAGGAGGAAGCAGTGGATGAGGAACGATTTGAAAAGATAGAAATGAAACAGGCAGAAGGTGGGCGCAGTGGTCACGAATGGTTTGAACGGATGGAAAGAAGTTGTGAAAAAATTGGAAGAGCTCACAGTAGAAAGTTCTACTGCGTTGATATGCAGTCAGCGTGCAAAAAGCGTGAAAGAAAGTGGCAGATGAACGGCATTTGAAATTGATAATGGAAAATAGTTCGAATATTTTGCATTCTTACGAAGCTTTTTTCAACCTTATTTGTTTTAGACAGAAAGAAATCGATGATTTTCAAATGTAGACTTCTCCGTAAAAAGCTCCGTTTCAAGAATGTAAGAAAGCTTTGTACTAGTATACGGGGTTTTACGTCAGATACGCTGACTGGCGGAGTACTGGGTGCTCACATCGAAGTATCATTCGTGCAATCAAAGTTCCATAAGACAAGTAAGCAAGCAAAATATTGGAAGTGGCTTGTGACCGATTCAGAAGGATACCGAGAAGGAAATGGCTAGTGTGTTGTTCAAAATTACTTCACAATAACTAAAGAGTAAGCGAATTCTGCAGTCACAAGTAGTGTCAGTCATTCATTCTGTTAGAAGAGATTCTTGGAGGGGTCAACAAAGTGTATCAAGTCACATGACATCTTCAAAAAAAAAATGCACTACACAAGTCTAAGATTTATCTAGGTGTTAGGCAAGAGGCCGAGGGGCTCGAGTTAGACTTAAAAAAGCGGACGCGGAAAATAATATTGGAGAACGTTGACCTGTTCGTTCTCAGTGTTGTGAACCAAAAGGTGTGTAAATATGTCATGCAGAATCCTTCCAGCTCAATAATTGGTTTTGCAAAGCAGCTCCAGTTGGCACATCTATGTCATGAAGGGGTGACTAAGCAAAAGAAGTATTCGGGATAAAAAGCAGATGTAGAAATAGTTACATTTGAATAACTTTAATAAAAAGTTCACAGAGCGTTATTTGGTGAGGGCGTCAGAAGGCTATAAATTAATATGGTGATCTTAGTTTATAGATTCCAAGACGGCGATCTGAGTTTGTAGATTCCAGAAAAGTGACCTGCTTTTAAGCTTTGTTCCGTTCCGATGGATTCATCGTGATCCTATTTTAGAGAAGTAATATGAATGAGCAACCAATTTATTTATGTTTACTAAATGCAGTATTTGTAGGAATACGATGGAAGCCTTGAAAATGAACGTGATTGAATCTTTGGTTATTTCCGTTTGTGATCAAAATGTTTTATGATTTTGTAGTGGACTTTTTATATTAACATGTACCCATGTATAACTGGTGTATGCAACTATCTATATACATTTATATATATATATATATGTATATATATAT